CATGATATCTGGTGAACCGAGTGATGAGGAAAGTCTATTATTGAGGCGTAATAGAGTGGTCCTTGTCTGGAGTCTTACAGAGCGATAGGAAGCTTCATGGTTGGGGCTCAACAGAATTACAAAAAGGCCCATGTCTGGGGCCTAACACAATGGTAGGAAGGTCCATGTTTTGGGCCTAACAGAACAATAAAAAATTCTTGTCTGGGGCCTTACAAAATGATGGGAAGTTCCTAGTTTGGAACTTAACAGAATGAAGGAAATGTCCATGTTTGGGACATAGCAGAATGATTGATAGGTCGAAGTCTCATGCCTAACAGAATTATCACAAAGCCAAAGTCTGGAAATTTTAGCTATAGAAAGTTGATAAGGAAATACAAATCTAGTAATGTATTTAAAATCTCTGTCCATTTATGCATATTATTAAAGGAAAAAAGAGTGCAATGTCTCGAAAGAGAGAAGAACATTTCTTTGTAATGTGTTTTAAAATACACCAATATATTCTGTTTTGGTTATCTTACTAACAAATTATAAATTGCATTAAAATTACAAGCCTGAGGGTTTATTAAAACAAAAACAACAACAAACAAACAAAAAGATAAACAAACTACATTCAATCTATCGGATGAGTTGCCCAATTCATTTAATTTATTGTTCAATTAGATAATTATTTTTACATAAAATCATGTTGAACATTTGGATGTTAAGAAGAATACATCATTTTCATTGTTACGTTGTAACATTAGCATATTTACAGGAGAAGGTTGTGTTATTTAAACTAACAGTGATTTTAGTAACCTGACTAAGACATGCCAGTACAGAAATGATACGGTATTCCCATGTAGATTGGTAGTCGACCACAAATTGCACTTGCTGTAGGCTGGGTTTAACATGTCTGTGAGAGTTGGTTAATGTTTTCTTGGTCAAACTAAACAGCTGTTACAGACGCAATATTGATACCAGCTCCTGGTGAAGTTAGCTGTACATGTAGAAACATCCCTCCCACACATCCAGTACCTACACCCAGACATTCACTAGTCATTATAGGTGCTAAAAGAAAATAATCATCGCCTGACCGCTTGTGCCTTATTGTCCTTCCAATGAAGAACTATCTAAATTGTTTCTTTCTGTAAAATCAATCAGAATTGGAATAATCCCTTTGCTATTTTGATATATTTTGAGAAATTTGTACTCTGTTATTGCCATCATTTTGATTTCTATGCAATATTATGCCCATCCCAATATTCTATGATTCAGTGGCATGATTTGAACAAGACTGACTCTTATATGTATGGTATTCCTTATTTATTTTGACTCCATTATATAAATCCTTTAAACCACAACGTACTCGGGCAGAAGCTGATGTTTTACGGGTACATTATAGAATTAAGCATGAGTCTTATTTAATGTGTTGGAAGTCTGGAATATGTTTCTGAGTATATAGGGGCAGAGCCACTCAGACAGAAGTTGATGTTTTAATTATAGAAAAAAAGATGTGTCTTGTATAATGTGTTGAAAGTCAGAAAAGAAGAGCCATTAGAGAGCGTTACAATCAAAGGGTACTAAAATATTGAAACAACCTGGATACCCAAAGTAATTTACAAATACAAAATATCTGCTGTGAGAGGTATACATCTGCTTTCATTAGAAAGATAATGAAACTTACTATGACTGTAACAAAGCTTTGCTTTAAAGTATCACTTTCTTACCAATGTATCAACTCATTTGAGTTTTCCATTGTAATGGATACATACATGTTTTAAAGCCTCTTTGAGATACTGGGTAGTACTAAAGGACCAGAGACTAAGTTTTGTATGACTAAGTCTGTGATATAGTAAGACAAGGACTCCATGGTCCTAAAGGACCAGAGACTTAGTTATGTATCTGCTAAGTCTGTGATACAGTAAGACAAGGACTCAGTTGTTCTAAAGGACCAGAGACGTAGTTATGTATCTGCTAAGTCTGTGATACAGTAAGACAAGAACTCAGTTGTTCTAAAGGACCAGATAGAGTAAGACAAGGACTCAGTGGTCCTAAAGGACCAGAGACTTAGTTATATTTCTACTTAATCTATGATACAGTAAAGCAAGGACTCCATGGTCCTAAAGGACCAGATACTTAGTATTGTACTCCGTTGTCCTAAAGGACCAGAGACTTAGGTATGTATCTGCTAAGTCTGTGTTACAGTTGTTAGACAGAGACATGTAGCCAACCGGAAGTCTTTAATACATTGTTTAGTGTTCAGATTTCTGGCATAATTTCATGATTAGATAATATCTGTTACAGATGTTTCTAGAATCAGATAAGACTGTAATGCAAAAACAAAGACCAAAAGTTGACGTAATTTATCATATTATGTATCCCATTGGACTGTTGTGCATTCCTACTAACATTCTCATCGGTGCATTACCTGGCTCAAATCCTGCAGATTTAGTGAGCGTTATGTCATTCTTGGAGTATGACCCTTCTGATGCTCCAGCCTTAAATGTCTACAGCTGTGGATAGGGTAGTAAAATATTTAATGATGTTTCACCAGAGAGATCATTTCTTTTTCATATGACTTTCCTAAAAATGTTTTATTGCACACTCATGAAAATATATTTTTAATCAAGTGTAAAGATCATATTTCACTCCATTTGAAATATATCTTTAATTCCAGCAAATTCTATTTTCTTTTGTGGTTTCTATATGGCAAGGTTTTAATTAACTCTCCTCCAAATTTGGAACCATTCAGTTCAGGCAAAGAAAAATCATGGGAATGTGTTGTCAACATAGATTGGTTGTCAAGGTAACTGGTCCTGGTGTGGTAAAACAATTTATAGTAAACTTCTGGGACCAGATTACTTATTAACTCTCAGCAGTAAAACAGATTCATGATGATTTTGTTGAAGGTCAATATTTTAAAGTTTCGATTGTGTATTTGTCAAATTTACTTCTGGATTGTTGTAATCTGATTTCTTTACAATCGAGTGATTACTTGCTGTTTTAATTACTTGTAAATAAGTTTATATTCTTTTCTTCTTAAATCTTGTTAGCTTGTTATAGTTATACATTGTTACTCTTATTAGTTTAGCATTAAACAAAGGCTAAGCTCTTTAGAATAAGATTAATTCTATTAGGGTCTGCAGATTTTATTAAAACCATTTTACAGGTTGAAATTCTTGTACTCTTTTCAAAAGACCAGTCGCAGAATAAAGATATTTGTTTCTATACTTCTCTAAATATTTGGGTCAAACTTATTACTTTTTATAACAGAAATTTCTCCCTATGAATATTATATGTTCAACTTATTGAACCAATCAACAACATCACACAGAGTATGTATAACTGAAGTGCACCCATAGGTATCTAGACATTATTCAGACAATTTATTTATAGATATATATATATGATTTAAATAAGAGAAAGGCTTTGCGTATCGTACATATAAATATAAAAACAAAATATCAATGTTACATATGTATATATATATGTGTAAAGTTGTGACTTACCAAACCTACATCAAAGTTCAGCTTGTGTAATATTCTGTAGATATTTATTATACATGTACAAGTCAACCATTGTGGGTATTCTACAGGGATCTACAGGTCAAACTTACCCAAGTCTATAGAAATAGTGTATGGGTCAAGCTTTCCCAAGTCTGGAAATAGTGTTGGAGTCAAGCTTACCCAAGTCTATAGAAATAGTATACAAGTCAAGCTTACCCAAATCTATAGAAATAGTATACAAGTCAAGCTTACCCAAGACTGGAAATAGTAAACGAGTCAAGCTTACCCAAGTCTATAGAAATAGTGTGGGAATCAAGCTTACCCAAGTCTATGGAAATAGTGTAGAAGTCAAACTTACCCAAGTCTATGGAAATAGTGTAGGAATCAAGCTTACCCAAGTCTGGAAAAAGTATACAAGTCAAACTTACCCAAGTCTATAGAAATAGTGTTGGAATCAAGCTTACCCAAGTCTATGGAAATAGTGTGGGAATCAAGCTTACCCAAGTCTATGGAAATAGTGTGGGAATCAAGCTTACCCAAGTCTATGGAAATAGTGTACAAGTCAAGTTTATTCGAGTCAGTGAAAAAAAGATTATGAGTCAAGCTCACCCAAGACTTCAGAAATAGTGTAAGAGTCAAGTTAATGCATATCTACTGAAATAGTAAATAAAGTATGAGATATTCTGTTGGTTTTTAATTAGGGATTTATGCCTGTGTCTTGTCGATCTGCTGTTTGTTGTATTTGCATGTTCTATGCCGGTTACTTTTTTATGATTTAAATTTCAGTCCTTACATCATATTACAGAATAATGATTTTCGCTCTAATTTGAATCATTCTGAGAATTTTCTGATAAGTTATTGAAAAATGCACCTGAAAGTTTCAGCACCTGGAAAATTGACCTACACTAACAAGATGCCATTTCAAAGAAAAGGAGTTCTGATGAACTCCAAATATTCAGCTTTTGGTATAATCCTACACATGGAAAAGTAGCCATTCTGAAAAGAAAAATGTCCAGATTCAGATTTCAAAACCCTCACCTCCTTTGTAATACCACCAAAAATGATGATGGTGAATAAAACAATAAGTTTAACTACTTTGAACTGATTAAATTATTCACAAACATCTTGTTTATGTGTAGCTGTTATAACTTCCTAGATCCTAAGTCTATGGTTGCTATATAACAAGTGGATATAAGATTTCTTGTTATTCACCATTGGTCTGAAAAGGCACAAGTTCATAGAATAGGAATCATACTCTCTGAATATCTGTAAACAATTTCATCATTAGAACCTTGTTTCTCTACACATACAAAAAATCTATACAGTTTCACAATTGACCAAGTCATCATCATTATTTACTCTGTGTACCATCTGTGTTGCTATACTGCTTGCTTGCTATTAACACTTAACTATGTATGCTTGCAATTTCTGTTTTCTTTTTGCTTCTTTTATTTTGAAATGTAGTTGTAGTGAAAGTTGTTTAATTTTAGGTTTTTGTTTTTACTTTTTCTTTAGATCGACCTAGAAGTTCACGCCATACTCACAACAGTTTTAACCACAGTTATCGAGACCGTCGTAACCATAACGACCCCAATGGTAAGCGTGCCATTGCCTAGTAACAACTCTGACCTTCTGTATACCCTCTAACCAAAGTATTGCTGAAGTGTGTTAGATGACACTTTGTACAAATGTGTGGGATCCGTTTGCTGCTTACTACCTATCATGGATGGATAAGCTTCATCATTTACCCATAATTCAACAGCAGTCCTAAGCATGGTTATTATTCTGTAAATTTTGATCTCACAAAATCAAAGAAGTGCTAAATAATTTTAACTTTATATTATACATATTCTTTGGACTATAATTTATATTTTTTACATTATAAATATTTTTCATAGTCATTATCAATTTCAAATTTAACTTTCTTACTAAAAAATGCCAGAGCTTGAGGACTAAACTTAATTTTGGGAACTATACTGGATTACTTCCCTTAGATGTATGTTTGTGGGTCAGTTTTTTTTTTTTTTACCTTACTCTTCTGACAACTAAGGGAAGTAATCCAGTAAAGTTGTCAATGTGCTGTTGAACTTGTATGAGACTACTGATGAATTGTGGGATGTGATTGATACGTTTGATTTTTAAAGTTGTGCCTTATGTGTTGTGTGTGTGTTATGCAGTGTGCTTTGTGATGTATTTTTTAATATCATTTCACTTCACAACTTAATATTTGAACACGAAGCACTTCACTATATTTGTCAAATACAATATACAGTATACCAATTAGTGTAAAATGTATTTTTATGTTAATTTTTACAGGGGAACCTGCATAATTCATACACTTATATACCAAAAGAAATATATGGAGAATGTATTTGAAATCAATTAGGAAATAACCAATTTGAACTTACAAAAGGGTTCAGTATCCTAACTTGAATTATTGAGGTTCCCCTGTTCTTTACTACTAATGTGATTATTATTTGCTAGCTGTGAATATTTACAGCAATTGTGGGCAATTTATTGCTGTTGGACCCACATATAAGAAAAGAAAGTTTTTGTTACTCGGTGAAAACTGTAACTTACAGGTAAATTAGTTTTATTTCAGATGTTATTTGTTCACTTTAATCTTTTCCAGATTTAATGTTAGCTGAGTAGTAGCATGAATTTTGAAAATGTAAATCTTTCATAGATTTCAGATCATTGGTCTTATGGAAACTGAGGATTTAAAATTTTAAGAGGGTGGTTTCAATATTGGGAAATCATTCAAATCTTCATAGATTTAGAAAACACACCAATTATAAAAAATTCTAATATTTTGGAAAAAAATATTCCACAAACACTTTTATCACAGTAGGAAGTGGTATCCATTATTGAAATGCTTAGTCTTTGCTTAACAGGAGCTGGATATCTGGAGAAAACCAGTTTTTAGCTGTTCTGTGATATTACTTGGCAAAGACACTGCTAGGTCTTTTAGACAAAGTTGTATATAGAGATTTTGAAAGTATTGACAATTTGGACAAATGGTAGTCTACCTGCATTGATTTCTCTAACCTACCTGTCTTAACAAGTCATGTTTATGAGTCATTTTCTACAGCGTTCACTTACAATAGCTGCTAGCTATCCATTTTACTTATTGATTTTTTGGCTCTTTCATATGACTGGAAGACTGTCGTATTTTCAAGTTTACATGTAGAACCTCACCTCTTACTGTCTTGATATTAATGACATCATGCAGCAAATCCAGCAAAATTTTAAGAATTTTAAGAATGTCAGCTGCAGCCATGTAACTCAACTGAACAGTTGGTAATTGAGATGGCTATCCAAGGGTCAGATGTAAATTTGAAATTAAAGATAGCTATCCTAGGGTCAGAGGTTAAGATTCATTTAGAATTTGTTTTGAGATGTTAAAACCAGCTGCAAGGAGGATTTAGATAAAAAGGATGTAGAAAAAGCTAGATTTTAGTCAGGAGGATTTAGATAATTTTGATGGAGAGAAGGTAAGAAGATAGTCAGGAGGATTTAGATAATGTTGATGGAGAGAATGTTAGAAATTAGTAGTATTTAGTTTCAAACATCATTCACAGAAAGTTGGTATTAAGTTTGTTTGCTTTTGAGATTGTGAAAGATGAATAAGAATAATAAAAATGCAATCTTCAGGAAGGGAAAATGACTCTCCTTATTACACGGAGTGTAGTTAAGGCTGTTTATAAACCCTAACATGTCTGTTGGAATTTGCTAATAACTGATGAAAATCCTATTTTATTATCCTCTAGTGAGCCTACCTTTTCCTTCAAAGTTTATCCCCTAGTCCCTCAAGGCTTTTAAAACGTGTCAAAATAAAGCGCTATGCTCGTTTTCTCTATCCGAGTTCCACCATTGAATATGCATCAGATTCATTGTGTAATGTTGGCAAGTCTTATTGCTTATTTGATACAGTTAGTGAAAATTGATTCTTGATTCTTGTGAGTTTGTTTGTAATTTGCATCCTAGCATGTATTTGACTATGTTTATATATCTTCAGCTCCCCCAAGGATCAATGGACACAGTAAGCATCACAGAGACCGAGGACACACATACGACTCATCAACAGTACTTAGTAGCGATATTGACACCACCAGCTTCTTCGACTCCGAAGATGACAGCAGGTAAAAGTTGTTAATAGGCCTTAGATTTCAGTGACAAGCAAAATTAAACTGTTGAAAGTAAAGATTTCTGAGACTAGCATGTTTACAGCCTTTATAAATGGAAAGTAATTTGACCAAAGAAACCAAGACAGATCTGAGGTCATAAAACAAATAATTCACTTTGATCAGTTCAGTTTTCTGACTTCAAAAACAAGGATGAATTATGTTCTAACTCCAAATTACCTTGTAATTAAGACACCAATATGCTGTAAGATTTAACAGGAGGTCTATATTCAATACCAAATGTGCTGTTAAAAATGTAGGTCATCAAGATTTTATTATAGAATGGTTTGAGATATGATTGATAAGGAACGTAATGATAGAATGGATATTTTAAGTGGGAAATGTTTGGGAGAAAAGAAATTGGAATATGTGGATATTTACACCCGAATTCACCATACAAAGATAATAAGGAAGACAAGTTACATCTTAAGCAGACTAGAATTATTCCTGGATGAAGTGGCACTTGAATTTGATCCAGAAATGTTGCAGGAGGATGTTTAAGTAATCTTCTGTTTAAAAGATTGCATTTTTTCTTTGCAGATTCTCCACCGTCACAGACACTACGAATAGGTCATCAAAATATGGTCGACACCGACGAAGACGGCGGAAACACAGATTGCCTCCAATCAGTAGGGTAAGTGGACATATTTCAGGACTTGGGTAATTAGTGGAGTTCATTAGTGGTGATAGTCTATTTGTCTGGTTTGTAAGGTTAAAATGATGTTCTCTGTAGGTGAGAACAGAAATTCCTAGTGTGTCAGTTCCATTTGTCTAGTGTATAAGGGTGAACTGATATTCTCTGTAGGTGAGAACAGAGATTCCTGGTATTTCAGGCCTGGTAGGAAGGAGTGAAATGATATTCTCTTCAGGTGAGAACAGTGATTCCTGGTGTTTCAGGCCTATTTATCTGGTAGGAAGGAGTGAAATGATATTCTCTTCAGGTGAGAACAGATTCCCAGTCAGTCAAGTCTGGTGTGTAAGGTTAAAATGATATTCTTTTCAGATGAGAAAGAGATTCCTGGTGGGTCAGGTCTATTTTAGTGGTTTGTAGGGGTGAAATATTCTGGTGGGTCAGGTCTATTTGAGTGGTTTGTAGGGATGAAATGGTATTCTCTTCAGGTGAGAACAGAGATTCCTGGTGGGTCAGGTCTATTTGAGTGGTTTGTAGGAGTGAAATGATATTCTCTTCAGGTGAGAACAGAGATTCCTGGTGTGTCGGGCCTATTTGAGAAGTTTGTAGGTGTGAAATTCTATTCTCTTCAGGTGAGAACAGAGATTCCTGTGGAGTGTTCATTGATATGCTCAATAAACTCTATTGAGTTGACACTACTGTGAAGTCATTTATCAATGTGGTGTTGTTTCTGTTCCCTGTTGATTCCTTGATTACTCACAATTCCCAAATTGATATGTCCAGGAAATAAAGGGCTATTAAAATCAGTATTGGTGGTTTTCCTTAAAGTATTATTCATCCACAAAATCCAGTGCCAACGGAAATGACTTTTCTCTCTCTCTCTCAAAAAACCTTGAAATTTGAATCCCACTAAAATATATCATTTTACAGTATATAGTTATCGATATTCAGTTTCCACTGTCAGTCTCAAGCTAGAGACAGTAGACTTGGAAATAATTGATGTTTTCACCGAGATGTATTAGGTTTGTTATCAGGGCTCTACAGGTGGTTTCTCCCACTGTCTGTAACAGTGATCCATCATCAGATATCTCACACTGTTGCTAATATATAAAAAAATACACTGAATCTGGTATATAAATAGCAGTAAGATGTGAAAGTTCCATTAATATTCTAATACTAAAGTTTGAATTTCACATATAAATAGTAAGATGTTAAAGTGGTATCAATCTTCTGATGCTAAAGTTCATAGTGTGGTTGGACACCCAATAGATTATAACCCTGTGTGTTTGATTATATCGTGATTAACATTGAGAAATAGCTGGAATATAAACACAAAATAATGAATATCATATTTTCACATTAAAAATGTTCTTTTGTCTAGAAAACCCCTTCTTTATTCATATTGAATTAATACGAATATTTGGGTAAAATAATCAAGAGACTGATTGTTACATTGTAAAACATTCTTTTTTCAAAAAGAGAAAAAAAGCAAATTTATATTTTCTGTCCAGTACTTGACAAAATTTTCTGTCCAGTATATAACTTCACAATTGCAACACCTGAGTAGAAAACCCAGAGATAAGTGTTGATAGAGGGACACAAATACAGACGTTAAAGTAAAACTACATTCCATCACTTTGATGATTGCTCTAAGAAAGTCTACATCTGTGTTTGTACTCATACTAATAGGTCAAATAATGCGTTATTAGCGTACCACCACCCCATACAAACTTAGGTCACATGTCCAAATAGTCGTCAGTTTTGTCTGACACTTATTAAATTAGGCATTAGATAGGAGACAGTACTCAAAACTTTAACTATCATATTGATATTGACCTTTTCTTTTTACAGGCATCTTCATTTAGTAGTATAACAGACTCCACAATGTCTCTCAACATCATCACAGTCACATTAAATATGGGTAAGTCTTTTACTGTATTGATTCAGTAAAAAGTTAATGTCTGGTAACTATATTAGTCCATTGACACCTTCTCCTTCAGTAATAATCTAAGGAATGGGAAAGGGGGGGGGGGGGGTGCTACACATCTCTAATAAAGAGGTAGGAATGGGCTTATTACAAGACAATGAAATGACCTTTTTTTGTAATTCTGTGGATCAGTGATATATAAGTTAGCTCATTATCTGACATGTGCTTATTACCAGGTAAATGCTGTTATTGTTGCTGTGTGACAGAATTACCAATAAGCCTTATTTCATTGTCCTGTAATAAGCCCTGTTCCAGATTTCGAGTTAGAGATTATGGGTTATCACACTGGGCTTATAGAAGATAAGCACAGTACATCTAGCAACTAAGATGGCTTTACATTAATCCAATTACCATTGTAAAACCACTGCTTCCCAAGAATCGCCATGTAACTTAAGATATGTGAACTACTATACAAATCGACAGTGTCACTTTCCCTGAAGGTGCTTTGATACCTCCTTTACTGTAAAACTATCATTATCTCATTTTAAGAAAGTGAATTTGATTGAAAACAGAGAAGAAATATATCTGATTAACTTTATTACTTTGATCCTTTGTTAAACAGCCATGACCATGTTACTTGAAATTGTAGGATGATTTTCCGATTTGTAATGATTATAATTCTTGTGTTTTTTATTTTCAGACACTGTGAATTTCCTTGGTATCAGTATTGTCGGGCAGAGTAATAAAGGAGGGGACGGGGGTATTTACGTCGGCTCAATAATGAAAGGGTAAGTTTGGGGAAGAAAATATTTAGATTGGCTCAATAATTAATGTTGGGGGGATGAGATGTTTATTTCAGTTGAATAATAAAAGGATAAACTTGGGGACAGGGCTATTGAGGTTGGCCTTGTGATGAATGAGAAAGTTCGGGATGCAGGTATTTACTCAATTATTAATGAACAAGTTTGGAGATGGGGGTATTTGCGTTCGTTCAATAATGAAACTAAGTTTGGGGATGAGGCTATTTTCGTCAGCTCTATAATGAAAATGTATTTTGGGGGACAGGACTATTTCTGTGTGCTCAATAATTAAAGTATATGGAATTTAACATTGGCAGAATAATGGAAGGGCAAAATTGTGGATGAGTGTATTTATACTGGCTCAATATTAAATATATCGTATATTATTGTGGACAGTGATATTTTTACAATAGAGTGACTTTCAACTGAATTGAAAATCAACACATTATTCATAACCATAAAAAACCAAACATGTAAGCTTGAAATGTTTGTCCAAAGTTAACTCAGATTTCCTAGACATCTATATTGAAATGTGAAATGATATATTAAAGCTTTATATGTTAACAGATTTCTTCTATACATTTGTTGATATATTGTGCTTTACATAGGGGTGCTGTAGCCCAGGATGGTCGTGTAGAACCTGGGGATATGATCTTAGAGGTGAATGGGGTCAGTTTTGAAAATATGAGTAATGATGATGCTGTTCGAGCTTTGAGGGAAGCTGTTCAAAAACCAGGGTAAGTAATGTAAACAGAAAACTATTTATTCAGTTGTTCCTGGTTCTGTACTTGAATTAATTAAATTAAACCAAAGGATTAATGCAGAACTTATAAATGTGCATTGAAATATCCATCAAGATTGATCCTTTTTTTAATGACCAGCAAGAAAAAACTTATTAATATTATGACAATATTTTTTCATTTTACAAGAATGAAAGGAAGTATATGAACTGAAATGATCTAATGTAAATGCAGAGGTCAAGTATGACAATACCTCAGAAAAAATTGTATGTTAGAAGATTCAAGGTCAAGACTTTCAAGGTTCATACTTTATATATATTAAGATAAATTGTCCATTTTTTTTTTAGACATTTCTACTCATTAATTATATTGTTTTCAAACTACCTCTGTGAGCTGGATTTCACAATGAACATAAGTGTCTGTTGGATTTACTGTTTTCTGAAATATTGTGATAATTTTTTGCAGTCCAATTACACTAGTCGTTGCCAAATGCTGGGACCCTAATCCTAAAGGATACTTCACAGTCCCTCGTCAGGAACCCGTACGGCCGATTGATCCCTCCGCGTGGGTGGCCCATACAACAGCAATGAGGGGAGACTTCCTGTCTCGGGGCGGGCCAAGCCCTTCTCTCAGCAACATGACCTCCACTACTAGTTCCTCTCTCACTAGTTCTATACCTGAGTCAGAGCGTAAGTCTTCCTATTTTGGACTCTGGGTATCAATATTGTATTAAGTCAAGCAAGGGATATCAGGAACACTGAACTTGTACTAAGAACCACAGGTTTGGCTCTAGTCTCTGGAATTTTAATATATAGTATGTTTTTTATAAGTAGAAATTCAAATTTTTTATTTTACCAATATTTTTTAAGATACTTTTGTAATGAATTACTTATATTTATTTGAAAGATTTCAAAGAACTATTCTATTATTTGAGATCAAGACTACACATACATAATTTATTTTTTCCAGGATTTGATGACTTAAACCTCACCATTAATACTGATATGGCAACGGTTGTCAAGGCGATGGCACAACCTGACTCGGGATTGGAAATCCGAGACAGAATGTGGCTTAAAATAACAATACCAAATGCTTTTATAGGTTAGTAAAAACAGTGTCGGTAGATGTTAATAAGTCATTTTCAATTTTAACAATTTAAATTTCATTAGAACAATCTTTCAGCGTCACAAAGTTTAAAAATGTATGGAATTTTACAATTTACAAACGACGACATCGAAATTATCTGTTTAGGTATGAAGTGAGTTAAACCTATTCAAATTAAGAAAACTTGTTGTGTACAGTTTGCAGCAGGTTATTGGTAAAGTTCCCTTTGTAGACATGTTCAATATAAAGTTAATTATAAAATTGTTTGTGCAATATATTAGAAATCTGAAAGACTGATTACATAACTTAACACCATTGGCACAGGAAAGATTACCATGGGGAACATTTCTTCTGTCAATGTGTTGATAGATAAATCTTTCATGTGACAATCTAGTATGAAGGACTCAAGTTTGATCAGTAGTGTTTGAATAATATATTGCTGTTTGCAGGTTCAGATTTAGTAGACTGGCTCTTCACACATGTAGATGGGTTTGCTGATCGAAGGGATGCGAGAAAATATGGATGTAATTTACTAAAGGCAGGATACATCCGGCACACTGTTAATAAAATAACTTTTTCGGAACAGTGCTATTATGTGTTCGGTGATCTCTATGGAAGTAAGTATGAAGGAAAATATAAAATGATTTTTTGTTATATTTCGAATATCATTTTTTTTTGACATCCTTAAAAGAATATTCATCACATTTTGCCTCCACTTGTGAGTGTATTTTAAACATCAATATTATTTTTCTCTCATTCTGGAACAGTCCATGAGTTTAGATAGTAAAACTTCATTGTGAATAAGATCATGTAATATATAATCATTGGAATGCTGTTAACCTGATACTCTTTGAACATAAAAATGGCAGAAGAAAAGATGATCAATTGTGTCACCTTTCTCCCACATGTGCTGATCAGGGCATAGTTAATTGTTATAAATCATCATCATTGTCCAAGTTGCTAAAGTTCCTTCATACCTAATACTGTACATGGGTAAACTTATCTCACAGCAAATTTGACTTTGACTGAATGAACTATTTGATGCAAGGATAAAAAAATTTCTTTGGAATGTTTTCCAATCTCATGCTTTTATTTATTCAATAGTTTATTTCCAAAGAAAATTTCCATTGGACCATTATTTGTTATTTGGGGGAGTTGTGCAATACCAAACTTCTATGTGACTTCGGACTCCGACAGCAGGTCACTTGACTTACTGTTAGGAATCCAGGTTTTTGTATGGCCCTGTATTTACATTAGTACAGCATAATCTTTTCTTTTTCTTTTCTTTTTTTTTAATATTCAAAGTTCTTTGATCATGTATCCTTTTCATTGTTGATCATTATACTCATATTTCATGGTTTCTTTTCTTTTCTTTTTTTTTTCCATTCCTAATTTTAGATGGACCCGTTTATCCAGGTTAGTGTTGTTACTGTGTAAATCCTTCTTCACCTTCCCTACATATAACTATTCTAGTCCTACTAACCAAATATTATCATACTATACGTATATATATATATATATACTGCATATGTCTGCTTTTGCTGAATTATTAAGCTTATAAAGGTCTATTACCATCATGTCAATGTTAAAAGGCCATATTAAACTCATTCAAGGTCACCTTTTAGAAGGTTGTGATGTTAAAATGTGAAGGTCACTGCTTTAAAAGGTCATCAATATTAGAATATGAAGGACACTGCTTTAGAAGTTTGTGATATTAGAATATAAAGGTCACTGCTTTAGAAGTTTGTGATATTAGAATATAAAGGTCACTGCTTTAGAAGTTTGTGATATTAGAATATAAAGGTCACTGCTTTAGACGTTTGTGATATTAGAATATAAAGGTCACTGCTTTAGAAGGTCATTGATGTTAAAATCCGAAGGTCACAATTCAGTGTAGACATGTATACTTGTATTAAAGTTAACAAATTCTCGTTGGTATTAATTTCAGTACTTTGGCGACTAGTCAGTGAGACGGGTAAATTATTTCATATCAGATACCAGTTTCACTATGGACAATTTCTGATTATAATAAAACTCATGCATGACAGAATTATATTTTAATGAAATATGTTTTACATTTAACTGGTAAATGCATCAGAAGACTTGTTAAGTTTTGATTTCGCCACAATGAATGGCTATACATCAGAAGACTTGTTAAGTTTTGATTTCGCCACAATGAATGGCTATATACATGAGAAATCTGAAGCATGATTGGTTTTCTATTGCATGTTTCTGACACACATTGTTTCCTATTTTATATGAATCACTTAGATTTCAAATGATCTTAGATCATATTTTTGTATGGCCAATGCATTGACATGATGTCCAGTAAATTTGTAAATTTACGCTGATTTCAACCACATAAATTTTCCATTCATTATTATCCATAGAAGACTTTCTCATTTTCATCATGAAAAAACAAACGGAAAATGAATCTTCCTTATTGTATAGAATCTGTACATATACCCTGCAGTATTGTAAATGCATTGTTTTTGCTTGATTCCAATATCCGATGTAATTCTAAGCACACATAAAAGTATACCTTGATATAATGATTTGCTTTCTATAACATTTTTATTTGTCATATTGCATTTTATTATCAATTATTGTCATTTGAATCTGTAATATCTACCGATCATTTGAACAGATTTGTGAACTAGTTTATATCACATACAACTGCCAAATAATCAACTTAAAAGATCACCTGTATGGCTTACGTTTTGGAGGACTTGTTTTACCAGTGTGATCCAAATTGATGTGGTACACATGTCTCTTTATGATCCACATTGTATGGTAAACATGTCCCTTTATGATCCACATTGTAGGGTACACATGTTCCTTTATGATCCACATTGTAGGGTACACATGTTCCTTTATGATCCACATTGTAGGGTACACATGTATATGTATAATCCACGTTGTAGGGTACACATGTCCCTTTATGATCCACATTGTAGGGTACATATGTATCTGTATAATCCACATTGTAGGGTACACATGTATCTTTATAATCCACATTGTAGGGTACACATGTATCTTTATAATCCACGTTGTGGGGTACACCTGTCCCTTTATGATCCACATTGTAGGGTACACATGTATATGTATAATCCACGTTGTAGGGTACACATGTCCCTTTATGATCCACATTGTAGGGTACATATGTATCTGTATAATCCACCTTGTAGGGTACACCTGTCCCTTTATGATCCACATTGTAGGGTACACATGTCTCTTTATGATCCACATTGTAGGGTACACATGTTCCTTTATGATCCACATTGTAGGGTAAACATGTCCCTTTATGATCCACCTTGTAGGGTAAACATGTCCCTTTATGATCCACATTGTAGGGTACACATGTTCCTTTATGATCCACATTGTAGGGTACACATGTATCTTTATAATCCACATTGTGGGGTACACCTGTCCCTTTATGATCCACCTTGTAGGGTACACCTGTCCCTTTATGATCCACATTGTAGGGTACACCTGTCCCTTTATGATCCACATTGTAGGGTACACATGTTCCTTTATGATCCACATTGTAGGGTAAACATGTCCCTTTATGATCCACATTGTAGGGTACACATGTTCCTTTATGATCCACATTGTAGGGTACACATGTATATGTATAATCCACGTTGTAGGGTACACATGTCCCTTTATGATCCACATTGTAGGGTACATATGTATCTGTATAATCCACATTGTAGGGTACACATGTATCTTTATAATCCACATTGTAGGGTACACATGTATCTTTATAATCCACATTGTAGGGTTACACATGTTCCTTTATGATCCACATTGTAGGGTACACCTGTCCCTTTATGATCCACCTTGTAGGGTACACATGTCCCTTTATGATCCACATTGTAGGGTACACATGTCCCTTTATGATCCACCTTGTAGGGTACACATGTCCCTTTATGATCCACATTGTAGGGTACACTTGTCCCTTTATGATCCACCTTTTAGGGTGCACATGTCCCTTTATGATCCACATTGTAGGGTACACATGTATCTGTATAATCCACATCGTAGGGCACACATGTCCCTTTATGATCCACATCGTACAGTTCCAAGATGTTTCCCCATTGTAGGGTACACATGTCCCTTTATGATCTATCTACCTTGTAGGGTACACCTGTAACTATATAATCCACCTTGTAGGGTACACATGTATCTGTATAATCCACCTTGTAGGGTCCACCTGTCCCTTTATAATCCACATTGTACAGTACCAGTATGATTCCTCATTGTAGTGTGATAAGTCCCTCTCATTTGGTGTTAGTATTACATTGTAAAGGACCTGTAGGAGACAGGATATTGTGTACTGTTGTCATACAGATCTAGTATAGATAGATTTATTTTTTTTTTTAAAAATGATAAAAGGTTATGGCATCTCTTTGAGTGTGAGGAGTTTTTACAGATTCTGATAGAGTATAGTGTTGATATTTACAGATCTGTCGACCTTGAGTTTAGAGGATGTAGACTCTGTGTCAGAAGCTGACCGTGACACACTGGCCCCGCTTCCTCCTCCCCATTGGAACAACCAGTATCCGTATGGTAACACAAGCTACCTACCTACGAACCTCAGCTACATCCCGCCCTACAGTTACACCAGCACAGATAGTCAGAGCTACGTTGGCAGCTTTGTTGACGGTATGGACAAGTCCGTGACTGGCGGAGGAGGAAATAACAGTGCAGGAAGTGTACACAGTGCATCAGGTAAAAACATGTTGTCTTACCGCAGTGTATACTTTGAAAATGAAATTCAGATTTTCAGGACTATTTAAGATTGATCTGATGAGATTTCCATCTGTTGGACATTTGGAGTAAATTTACTGCTGGGTGTAACACACTGTTTCAGGAATCACTGAAATATAAGCCTCTTCAAAATTAAACATAGAGTAGCAACACTGATACATTCTGGACCAGTATTAGAAATATTTGGTTTGCCACCCAGCTGCGAGCTTGATTCACTTTGCTGATATGTGACTGTTTTGCCGATTGTTTCACACCTGATCCATCACCCACTTAGGGAATACCTTTGTTAAGGAATATACCTAAAGGGAATATAATAGAGTTACAGACATGGTACAATAGGCAGTCTTGTGTCATGATTTCTCTTGTGTCGCTGAATGCTTAGCATTTCTTCATATTTTGCTGCATTGACAAAGCTTTCATTATAGATATCTCCTTGGAAACTATTGAATCACAAAGCTTGCATAATCTTTTTTTCTTAAACTACTAGAGCATAAAGCTTGCAAAGTCTAATTTTCTATAATGAATCCAAAACTTGAATACTAGACCACCTAGCATGAGATAATCGTCACCATGGTGATTGATCATTATGAAGACAGATATAAAAGTTAGTCTGACAGATATTGAAATTTACATTAAACTGTTCTTTATGAACAAAAACTCTTCAAAATCTTCCTGGTTTCAATCAATAGATAAAGCTTATTGTGATATAGAGGTCAGAATTAGATTCAGACAGCAAGCAAACTGTTAATTACGTCTATTGTGCTCCCCTTAATGCCTATGAGAATATGTTATCTGTAAACTGATAGTGACTGGAATTGCTCAGAATACAACAACATTTAACAACTAAGGGAATACATTATCTGTAAACTGATAGTTTCTTGGATTGCTCGGAATAAACTTGAATTTTTTTTAACTTATTTAAATTGATAGTGATGGAAATACATTATCTGTAAACTGATAGTGTCTTGGATTACTCAGAATATAACTACATTTAACAACCAAGGGAATATGTTATCTGTAAACTGATAGTGTCTTGGATTGCTCAGAATATAACAAAATTTAACAACTACAGGAATATATTTTCTGTAAACTGATAGATAATACTCAATACCTGAAACTGCATGTTACTGTTTAGAAAGCCAAGAATATAAAAGTATGAGTTTTGATAACATTGATAAATTAGTTTCTTAATTTTCTAAAAAAAAATTGTCTTGAAGCCGAAATTTTCAGCAACAATTAATATGCATGTAAAAGTGAATGTATTTCTGTCCTAGCATGGATCAGCATTGTTATTATTTCTGTAACTTTTATTTGTTACTGGATGTAGAACCATATAGATGTATGAAACTGCTGTGTTTAGTTTGAAAATTTATGTTTCTGTCCAAAATTGGTAATAAGTATTTTGTTGTCCTGTCGTTCTTACTGACAACCCACCTGGTGTTGGACTTAAACACATGTTTGTGGTGTCCGACTGTTTATGACACCTCCATAGTGTCCGACTTCATCAAACCCCAGGATAACCCTACCTCATGGTTTCCATTTGTGTTTTGAGTATATATGTGTTATTATTTTCCCCCATTTTTTTCCTCTCCCCAATTTTTTTGGTTCTTTTTTTTTCAGTTGTCCAAAAAGATTGTGCATGTATTGTCAGTACATACAATCATTTGAAAAAACTTTGGGAAAATAAGGATAAGCAACAATTCAACCAGCTCCAGCAACAGCCAAATTCCATGGTAACCCCATATACGGACTCCATGGATTTTGCATGTTCACGGACCTCCACAGCTAGTTCTGGTTTGTAGTCTTGTTTGTTACCCAGTGCTTCAAGGTCATGACCTCTATAAACCTGCTGCTGTCATGGTAATGACCTTTACAGCAGTTTCCATGGCTTTCTTTCTTTTTCCCTTCAGTTTTTATCTAATTTGGTGTTGGTGCCCGCCGTTGGGGTTGGTTTTTTAATTTTTAATATGCTTTTGTCTTAACACTGCCTTTTAATTCAGTGCTTTTTTGTGGGGTATTGTGCAATATCCCAGCTTTACACGGGCTTCTTGTCACTTGTTGTTAACACTTTTAATATTTTGTGCAATATCAGTTTTTATATTTCCAGCTAATCCTGAGCTTTGTGTTAACATACTGCATCAGGAAGTTCTGGAGACAGCTCTTTTGGTGTTTGTGCCTCAGCAAACACTCTTTTGATAAAATTTTGTAAAACTGACAATTCACACTCTCTGTTACCAATTAACATAGTATACTAAAATAACTAACTACTCTAACAATACTTAGTATTTCCTCTTCAGAACAAAAATAGGACCCTCTCATAGTTATGCATTCAGTGATGGTCAATACCATTAGTTCCCAGCAATATACATTATGCTCTGTTTTGTTAGACTGCTGCTCCACAAGACATTAGCTAAATTCAAAATAATACATTTTGTACAATTTTAGACCCAGTTATATTAAGTGAGATGGAGTGATGATGAAATTGATAGTAATTAAGGAAACAATGTTACTTATGATTATTTATTTTTCGAAATAAATGAAAGAAGATCAGCATTCTTACAGACTCTAAGCTTGCTTGTTTTGGTATATCTAAAGTATGTACCTATATGTAATGCTATACCATTTGTTTTTTATGTGTATCCACTGTATACTAAGCATAGATTTCAAATTTTGCTTTTCAAACATAGCTCACTTGTAATTTTCTGTTGGTAGATACTTGTAAACCACTCTCTTTCATGATTAAAAATTTTCACAATTTCCAAATCACCAAAAAATTCACTTCAATAAACTTTGTGAGACTGTCAATTTTATACTCCTATAATTGTTGAATATGATCCATGTCTTAATTCACAACAATTTCCTGGAAAGTTAATCACACATGAAAGAAAGTTGGGTTTACAGCACTTCCTTGTTTAGTGGCAGTGTAATTACAATAGTTACCCATAATTCCTGCTAAGTACTTTCCCATTACTTTGCCATTATTCCTTAAACTTGGATTTTGTCGCAACTTTTCATATTCCCAGTATCAATCTTACTCTGGTATGTATGTACCATATAAAATAGGTTTTAAACTTGACAGATTCGTCTTGTACATGGGACTGGGAAATCTCACACACTATCTAGTGCTAGATTATTGTTGTCACATCTGATTTGTGTAGTACTGTTACATGTTAAAATACATATTCTACTGAAAGGGAGGTAATCTAAGGTAATGGAAGAAGTTTTAAATGAAACAAGCTGTAGCAGTGAAATTCATCACAGCACCAAAATGGTCCTAATATTACCATTATAGCTAAGGCAATCAGTCCGCTGATGTTTATGTCAATATTTTTTTTTGAAAAGTTGTAACACATAATTGAGTTCTGCTGGAATCTTCTATGTACTCTTTACATGATTCATAGTTCTTTGCTAATGATTCCTATCAAAGTTCTCAGTGAATTCAACTAATCTCTGAATCATAGGTTCAAATACAATGGACAGATAAGGTCGTCTGTACATAATATGGTCCAACACAGTGGACAGATAAGGTCGTCTGTACATAATATGGTCCAACAGAGTGGATAGATTAGGTCATCTGTACATCATTCAGTCTAACACAGTGGACAGATAAGGTCATCTGTATATAATAGTCCAACACAAAAGACGTTAATGTCATCTTATTTATAGTTGTTTTGTGCTCCTCGGTTTCATGATTACACAGTTATCGGTTTACATAAATTTTCACATGTTCATCCCATTGACTTTGGTTTTGTCATAAATCGTTATTCAATTCATATATAATGCAGTAATTTGTGACCATAAAACAAGGATATGTCGCACACAGAAGTGAAGAAATCCACGTAGGCGGTTTATGTCAATAACCTGATGTAATGATGTTATATATCTGTGTGATTTATAACTAATATCACAAGTCATTGGTAATGTTTATTCAGCTCCTTGTTAACAGCTGTGACTGTATAGACATACTGGTATTAGTGTGGTCTTCTCACTCAAATTATGGCCCTTTATTATCCACTACACATTTGTATAATCTACTCATGCTTATCATAATCCTACTGTCAATTAATCCTTGTAGCTCTGGGACAAACAGCAGTAGTACAATGTTATCTGGAACAGAATATAGTACTGTAGCTCTGGGACAAACAGCAGTAGTACCATGTTATCTGGAACAGAATATAATACTGAAGCTCTGGGACAAACAGCAGTAGTACCATGTTATCTGGAACAGAATATAATACTGAAGCTCTGGGACAAACAGCAGTAGTACCATGTTATCTGGAACAGAATATAATACTGAAGCTCTGGGACAAACAACAATAGTACAATGTTATGTAGGACAGAATATTACTGAAGCTCTGGGACAAACAGCAATAGTACATAGTTATCTGGGACAGAATGTTACTGTAGCTCTGGGGCAAACAGCAATAGTACATAGTTATCTGGGACAGGATATTACTGTAGCTCTGGGACAAACAGCAATAATACAATGTTATCTAGGACAGAATATTACTGTAGCTCTGGGACAAACAGCAATAATGCACTGTTATCTCTGACAATATATGATACTATGCCTCTAGGGCAAACAGTAATAGAACAATGCTACCTGGGACAAATACTGCAAAGTGAGACAAAATATATGATATACCCCAGTACTTTTAAAACTATAGACTACTTTTTCATTTTTCACTGGGACAAATGGTGAAACTGTAAAATGTAAATTCTTCTCGTTTCATTTGGGACAAAATGAGAAACTAAAATGAAATTTAACAATGTATGTACTGACATGACTGTGTTGATATCTCTGATATTCTGTATCATGCTTGTCAATTTTCTTCAGTTTTAGATATTGGTATTTTTCAGCCGATTTTTATATGCATGTCATCTGTGAACTTTTAACATTGTAAGCTGTGTCTTTCAAATCAAATGGACTGCATTGTATACAAATAGTCCATTACAGTGAAAAGGATGGATTCCTGGTTTGTTTGCTACTCTTGCGTGTTATAATGGACTAAAGGAATAGTCCATTGTTATGTAAGAGTAGACAAGGTGGAATGTGGGAGGCTGCACATGAAGGGGAGATAACTCTTCGCAGACATCAGATATCGTCATGTATTGCTATCATTGTTGTGTATCTACCTGCTCAACCCTATGCCTTGATGCCTCACCAATAAAAACAGATGAGTTCATTCCTGGCTTTGGGATGAACAGGTTGTTTTTCTTGCATGATAAATATGAAATAAATCATTTATTTTGGGTTAATCTTCGTTACTGCACATTTTCTGACTCCTGAGTTGAGATTTTGCTTCCGTTGTCCTGATTTGATGGGATATTTTATGTTGATTTACTCTGGAATTCTGGCATGGAGACATTGTGAATTGCCATTCAACATCTGTCTATATTTTATATGTTATACCTGCCGCAGTTATACATTTATTTTTTCATTTAAGCATGCACATAATTCAGCCAAGTTTTCCTTCTTCACTGAATTCTTTTTCACCAATATCTGGTTTTTTTTTTCTGTCACAAATTTTTTCCTGTCATAATAATTTTCATAGTGAATAGCTTTGCATGCACTGTTACACTATAATTGTCTAGGACCAGCCAAGCTAAGGCATTGACAGGCCTTACAAAAGCTTTTAATTCACAAGGTAAAACTTTCATCATTGGAGCAAAATTGCAAGATTCCAAACACTACTACTATCATCAAGATGATTTACTTTTTGCATGTTTCTTTCTGACATTGAAGAAAAAAATGAAGTGCCATATAGAGTATTCAGTTTATTTTTTACGTTGAGTTAGTTGTTTCAAAAGTATTGAGAAGTTATAAGATTCCCTGGTAGTGATTTGCATGACATTACACCTATTCATTTTATCTGTAGTTTTCATTTCATTTTATGGTAACTTTTCATTTCATGATTTCACCACACATTTAATACGTTACATCATTGACGTCAGTAACAGGTATATATATATATGTATATACTGGTGTAATTATTTACTCTCATGTCTCTTTAATTTTAGTATGTTTTTGATTTCTCTGTGTTTGTTGATTTTGGCAGTTCACAATGCTTGCTCATGTCTGCCAGTAAATCTACCGGCGGCTCAACGGCTGTTGTCAAAAACTTTGTGTATCGAGTCAGCCGAGCCCAACAACAATGTCCGTGGTAAAAAATCTGTGTCAAAATCTCCTATAACCACGGTCACCAAGGAGACTGTTGATACGGAAACAGAGGCTAGACACAAGTCTGCACCCTCACCCACTCCACCTGTAGAAGCTGATGGCACAGGTATGTCAGGGGGACATAACTCAACTTTGCCATCATTAGTCAGGGGATGTAACTCCGCATGGTGTCGCCACTGCCAACATCACACTGCCTAGAACTGCTGTTGCTGCCGAGCTTGACACGGGACTCGCATGAGGTCTTCACTGCTGCGCTGTCTTGTAGGCACGCTTATTCCGGACCCATTATAAACACAGAGAAGAGAGATAACTCTTGACAGTTGTTTCCAGTTTATTTTTTTTTATATAATTTTGTGATCTGTTTACAGTGGTTCCATTTTGTACAGCATGATAGTGATACATTTGCCCATTGTCCAGCTTCAGTTCTCAGGATCAGCATTACTAATATATCTGATTAACATGTTTGTTACTGACATGGTGACCCCCACCTTCTGTGTCTCAACAATTCTTGCTTTTATTTTACATCCAGCTGTTGTGAATGTTTAACCCTCAAGTTATAACCCTTAGTGATGTCGAGGTATATAGTTGGTGTTTCCAGTTGTATTCCATTTACTACTTCCTGTTTGGACATCATGGATGAGGGGTCTGTATGTAGAATGTTACTAATTTTCTACACCCTGTAGCAAGGGTGAATTGAGGTCTAAATGTAAATTTTTCTAGGCTGTTACTTTTATTTTTAGTTTAAAAAATTATTCTCACCTTGTTTACAATGCATTATTTCTTATCTTTTTATAGGAGATCCAGATTTGGATATATAGCTCAGAACTAAATCTTTTCCTTATAGCTGATAATGAAATTTCACAAATAGACAAATTGTTATTTAGATTTTTCTGTGTTTAAGGGACACGCTTATTTTGACAATAATTAGTTTGTACCTGTAATAGTTCACCTGTATAGGTGGTCAGGTGATTTTTATGATTTTATTTAATTTCCGTTGAGTTGTTCTTGTGATATTATTCTAGTTCTATTGATCTTTGTGAATGATATGATTGTAGCATATAGAACTATTTTATTGCAATATTCTATATTTATACCATATGAAAATATAATATTTCATTATTATATTTATCTATATAGTTATATATCAGACATTACATAATGTACATTTTATATTACTGTAAATTATATTATGATTGCATGCACATGGCTATCTTATACCAAAAAATGTCTTATGAAATTGCCTACTAATTGTGACACTAATATACTGGTAGAAAGATAAAATTGGTGCTTTCATTATTTGACCTTTGTAAATATTGAGAGGACAAAATATAAATAGCATTCCCCTCACTTTTACTTTGAAATGTATATTTGTGTTCATTGATACATGTATTGACAAACCAATCAATTCAATTTTGTGTTAGAAATATTATTGAAAGTGGGATATAGATTATGTTACTCACCAAAAATCACAAATGTCATATTGGTAAAGAAGTTCAGGTGAATTTCAATATTGTCATAGTGTCATATGGCTACTTCGTGTCATATGCCTAACTAGTGATCTGTGGCTACCTAATGTCATATGCCTAACTAGTGTCATATGGCTCTCTAAAGTCATTTACCTAGCTAGTGTCATATGCCTAACTAGTGTCATATGTTATGTACTTTGTTCCTGCCAGTATTAAAAGCCTTTCAAATTAATGTGTTGATATTCACCTTGACAACAGGCCATTATTGTAGACAGTATAGTGTGCTAGTATTGACTACTCTTATGCTATATCCTGTATGTTGTATGCAGTTTCCCAGAAAGCTTATTCTATAGCAGAAATAGTTCCAGTTACATGCCTACATCATTAATATTATTCAAAATATTCAAGCAAGTTTCACCATAATGTCCTAGCACCTTTTACTAAAGAAAGCTTCTGAGATTTTTGCAAAAGAACTCATTATTACTTTCAATTTCCACTGCTAGAGAAGAAACTATACCTCAGGTTTACAAGTTTTATCCGTAATCAGTTGTTCTAAGTTCCCTCTAGCCATGCTGTATATATTGCAGATAGTATTCACCAATATATTTACTTTTAGTTTACATTTTGTTATTTTAATTCAATTCAAAAAGAGAAATTAATTCTCAAAAAAATAAATTGATGAAATATTTGCTGTATCCAGGTATTGTAAACTGACTTCAACATATATTATCCATACAATGTAAAAAAAAATACCAATTTAGACTGGCATCTTGATAGCTCTGAATTCTCTTCACACTTAATGAAAACAGAGGAAAGCATGTACTAACAGGAGGTTGTTGTGACTAATGTTACCACACTGTACCAGTCAATGTACCCGACATTAATATGTATACTACCTTACAGTCTATAACACATGTAACCCCTGGTGGTTCTCATAAACGATTTAAACAATATTCTTGTTCAAGTGCAGTACAGTTGTCAGTTATAATTATTATTATTTTCAGAAACACATTCGAGACTTAAGTGGTTTTATATGCATGATTTCTTTTACTGTTTCAGGAAGCAGTGCATCTGGAAGCAGTCGAAAGGAAAAGGACAAATCTGACAGAAAGTCAGGAAGTCCGGCAGGAAGTGGGGGCAGTGATACGGAGACCGCAAGTCTAGCAAGTGCTCGGCGTGTACAAGTTGTACCAGCCCCACCATCAACTAACATGATGCCGCCAAATATGATGCCACCAAATATGATGCCACCAAATATGATGCCGGGACAAGCACTGCCTCCTCCCCCAAGGGACCTGTCTAGTATGCCACAAGATTTAAGTGGCAGTAGACAGTCTTTCAAAATGGCTATGGGAAATCCATGTGAGTTTTTTGTGGATGTCATGTGATCCATCATGTGGCCCCTATACAGCCAATCAGCTATCATTATTTGCATGCTGAAAAAAACGTTATATAAGAATTGGAGATTTGATTTCCTGAATGGGATATTTTATAACATGGAAAGAAATTAGTTAAGGAAGACATTTATGACATCTTGTCATATATTTGCTTTTAAATCATGATAGTTAAATCAAAATTCAGGCCAATGGAACGGTACATGACAGGATAGTCTGCAGAGAGATAGGAATGGACAGGAATTTGTTTGTTGTGTGATATTTATGAATGTACAGTTAACTCATTAGTCTGCATGATCAAGTCCCGACATATCCTCCTGTAGTTCATACAACTTGTATACTTCATACTGTATGCTAATGTATCGCCAAGTTGTTTTTAGCATGTTTGCAAATATAATTTATTTTAGAAGATTTGGTGTGAGGAAGTGAGCGTGACTGTAATACAGAATTTGAATGTTAATGTGTCCTTTACCTTTGCAATCATAGCGATGTATAAACCTATAGATAAGTCGCTATTATTGGATGGGTTGTTTAACATGTATAGTCAGTTTTGATGATGGCTTTAAGCCTAGTTGTCTTCTTACTTTCACTGTAGGCGATTCAGTCATCGACTCATGACCTCTGACCTTCACCCTGACCCTCATCTCCATGGTTACAGCTTCCTTCCATGATCGCCGCATTAGCTGGACTAAGGCCTGTTTCTTTGCGTGCGCGTTCAGTACAGGCTGATAACAGGGGTCACCTCCTGTTACCACGGAATCGTGCTTGGTGCTTTTAACTACTAAACCTTCAACAGCAGTAGGCCTAGTCGCTACGGATCATGTGACTTGTCACATGATCACCTTGGCTCCTCCTTCTTCCTGGTCCACCTCGTCTGGAGATCGTAAATTTTCTATTTGTACTCTGAATGGTTGTCGCTGTCTTCTGTTTAAGTCACTTGTGATTAGTTTTATAATAATTTACAAAACACATTTTTATTATTTTTATTCCGACAATGAATTTCTTGATTGATTTTGTTCAGGTATCTAGTGATTGCATTAAGGTCCTGTATGCATGACGTTGTTGTGATAAGCTTGCCTTCCATTAAGGTTCTTGGTGATTCCATCTCATTTACGCTCTGGAAGATGCTAGACTGATTCTTTTATTCTCTATCATTCATTCTGTCGATCTTTCTGTGTCTTTCTATTTGTAATCTTCCTCAGTTGCAGCATGTTTATGTGTGGAAAGATGCCCAGGGTGTTAAGAGATGTGCTTTGCCTGCATATCTTGATTTGGCATGATTATCACATGGACGTAGATATTTTAGAGAAGACATTTTACGTTGGGTTTTTTTTTATGTCCCTTTTTTTTTAATTTTAACTAAATTATATCAACTGGTTGTCAATTTTTTATTTTTGAATTTGTCAAAATGAAATCAAGTTACAACTATATGTTTACATCACTGCTGATTTTAACTCCAAAGATTGGAAAATGGAAGAGTTACGATTTGTAATAATTATGTGCTTCGATAAGTTTTTTTTCCTTCATTGAGAGAGATTTAAATTGATTCATGATAAACATTGAACATTATGGTCAGAATCATGGTTGATAATCAATTATCTGTTTGCTCCAAAGTAACATAGATCAAGCTGAAAACATAACTAACCAAACAAAAGTTATGTATTCTTTTGCATTTTTACGGAATAAATTTTTTTTGTAAGTATTCCACTCTGTTTTTTTACCTTTACCAAAAGACTTTTGCTATTTTATTTAGAAAATTATAGATCTATTTTATTTCAATGAATCAATTTACTTTTCAGTTATTTATGCCTGTTGGTCTGTTTTACTGATGCTGATGAATGCATTTTAAAACAAAATGTCTTTTGATGAAAATTATCTTTCAGATCTCTGGTTTAAATTATATAAAAAAAAAAAGGAAAGATTATGAGTTTTGTCTGTCCAGCTGCCCAACTACATTCATACCACCTACAGCAAATACTGAGCCTTATTGTTTCATGTTTACATTTAACAATTGAATCAATGTATTGCTTCCTGTGTTTGCCCCAGTACAGAAAATTTTCAGGCAATGGATTTGATATCAATAGTGAGTGAACATTCTTCATCAGATATCATTCTCAAGTGAGACAAAACAGGTACTTGTAGTTGTGTGAAATTATCAAACAGTGTCACAAATTATACACATATTACAATGTTTACATGCAATACCTCTGTATTTCAGTTTTAATCTGTATGATTCTGTATTGTGATTGATTAATTGATGTTGGATATTTTTTATCGAGGAAAAAATCTAATCTTGTTAGCTAAAATATACAAGCATTTGTTCTAAATTTTCATTTTTTCAAATTTCAAAAAAAAAATTAAAATTTGCTAATTGTCTTAATCTACACAATATCAAGTGGAAACATGAAATGGCAACACTCTCAAGAGACAGTCTACATGGACAAGAAGATTGATAATTTTTGAATACAGTATATATATATTTATACATAAAATGTGCTATATGTAACATACAGAAACTGCATTGCTAGCATCTGTAGACACCTGATCTGTGTAGTCAACTTCAGCTCAACATTTACTTGCATATAAGATGAACTGAAATACAATGTTTCGCATTGGATCAATACCAACATATAGAAATCTTGTAGCTTTCAGATGTTTATTTACTTATGAACATTGAATTTTAGTTTTTAAAAAAAACAAAAAGCAGACATGGTATTTCAGAAATAGTAATGTGTAGTGAGTATCTGCTGCTGTTTTCTTGATGTAATGAAAAGTTGCAATGTTTTACTCTTTGAACAAATTTTGCCAGAAATTGCAGTAATGAAGATAAAGATTTGCCAAATCATGATTCAGCCAAATTAAAATTCTTTCTCCTATGAATATTTTCAAGGATATTGTAAAATTTTGTTTTGTCAAAATCAAACTGATATTGCACAGGTTGTTATTTTCTCAGTTTCCAATTTTTCACTTTTTTTTTCAAGAGTGAAATAAAAATGTGAAAAATAGATAACTTGGAAATAAATTTCGTAAGTTTTATGACTTAATATAAATCCATAATAAAAAAAATAAGTGTGTCAAAAGTTTTTTGATAGAACCGTGACAATTTTAACCATAGAAAAACAGCTTTCACAGTACACATGATCATTTATTACCCAGTGATAATAGGCTGGGTATATGATAGCCTGTTCTATCTTTGTAGAACAGTCTTCTGAGTTTATATCAATGTAATCTGCTGATGTTTAATATGTTAGGCATTATATAACGCATTTCATCAGAAGTGGCTCAGCAGTGGATCCGACCATCCTGGGGGTGGCTTAAGGTGATGAGGAACTGTGTTATTTATAGAAGACACAGGTGTTTCAATTGTACAAAGGCAAGACCTAGACGAGCCAATGTTGGCAGAAATAGGAAAGCGGTGCTTATGGTTGTGTTAGTGAAGGAAAAATGATGGAATATATTTTATTGTCATGAAACCAAATGCAGTAAAAATGCAACTATGTGATGGGAATTAGGTATGTGTGTATGTCTTTGCTTGTACAACATGTATGGAAAGAGAAAGTAGGCTGCATCAGTCGCTGTAATACAACTGGAACAATGTCTTCTGGAAAAAAACAACTTTTAATATCATTTAGCTTTAAGTGTGATCATTACTGTTCAACCCTGTATGCAAAATGTGTGTAGAGTGGGAGTGAGGATCGAATATATGAGGTGAGGAGAACATTTTAAGACGATGTGTGTTAACATGTCACTCAAGCTTGGAGTGTTACTTTCTGTCTAATGTCTTCTGCTAAATAATTTAGTCATTCTTGTTTCAAATTCTCAAGAAGATGTGAATTGCTGTCCCAGTTTAACCATATACTGACTTCACCATTTCTTGAGATTTTATGTGGAGCTAAAATTTGATTCTGAAAATCTCACATTTTCTTAGTTTGTAGTCCAAGATTGGAAAGATCATGGTGTTGCTTGGATTCTTTCAGGGAAGATAACCAATTACCTGACTTTTTTTTCATTTTATGAAAGATGATGTGTTATTTCCAAATTGTGCAATATTTTGTATATATGAACCAATACTGTATATCTCACTCTGTTTTTAATCTATATGATACTTTTAAATCAGTATATTTTCAATCTGATAATTCTATTGAATGTTTTGAAATCGCTGATTACTCAGTAGTGTATATTTTGTTTCTTTATTGTCTTTTACTGAAATTTTCACTGATAGATTCAGTCTTACTTACATAATTGCAAAGATTTATGAACAGTTTATTTTAAGTGTTGAAATTATACCTTTAATTTCTTTGAAGTTTTTATACCACCTGACCCAGCATATAAAATGTAGATTGAATTTGGAACATTATGTTTATTCAGAAAGATAATAAGAAAAAAGATAGTTTTAGCAATTCTCATTCTACAAATTTTTATCTGAATAAACCAGTGTCACTACTTACTGGTCAAATTGTATTTTTTTGTCTGTTAAGGATGAAATGGTCAAACTTGACACAAATTTTTCCAGCTTTAAAGCTGACAGGTCTAGTTTTAAACTGAGATGAGAAATTTTGAACTACTGTTGTGTCATTGCTTAATAAGTGGAAGTCGTATGTATAAATGAGATCCCGTCATCCAAGGCATTGCCCAGTGAAAATGTGTAAAAGGGATTTCATATAGCTGCATGGTATGATCCCTTCATGTAAAAATGACGTGTATGTGTTAAGCAGTGTGAAAGTGATTTATCAATGATGTCGGTGCAATGAACACAAAGATAGACATCGCCTAGTTTTTCTTTTGTCCGGTCAAGTTAACAAAAAGGTCTATCAGTGATTCTGAATGTAACATTTTAAATGAAATACCATTTGTTTGTAAAACAGTGTTCATAGTTTACAAGTTATGGTCAAGGATTGTCTGCCCTTGTCCATGAACTTGAATGAGGTTATGGTTGAGGGTTGTTTGCCTCTTGTCCATGACCTCAAATGTATATAGGTTATGATCAAGGGTTATTTGCCCCTCATCCATGACCTGTAATGTTTGCAGGAGATGGTTGAGGGTTGTATGCCCTTCTCCATGATCCCATGTTTACAAATTATGGTTGAGGGTTGTCTGCCCTTGTCCGAGCATCACCATGATTACAATGTACTTGGTTGGCCCCCCACCCAGAAGATGTTTTGTACAGAATATTTGATGGTAGATGATTGTGTAAATGATATCGGTCTAGTGGGCCGAAATAAAAATGCCCAATATAATTCTCTTTGTTGTGTTAATTTATGTAGCCAGTGCACATGAAATCCAAGTGGAGCCCCGACTCTAAGGTTATAAATCTTTATTTATGTCCAATTTCTTATGTATATGCAAAAAATTATAAACTGAATGAAAAGTGATTGTGTTAACATTCAACATGAATACCACAAATGTAGTCAAATTACTTGATTACTATGTTATTCACGAGGTAACAACGACATATTTTACGATGAAACATTATACATAGCTTCAGAAAACCAATATAATTCCCCGAACTTCCCTTATTACTCCGTACCATAACACATATATACCAAGTAACCTCCATGAAATCGTTTCTATTATATATCTGTTCATAAATTCAAATGTTTCTTTGAATAAAGAATTACTTGTGGTATATCAAGGTGATATTATTTACCATTCAACGTTCCGACAGACACTGAGTGGTCACGTGATTACAGTCTGCTTTAACGGAGTAACCTCCCATGGTATTACTCATCAGGGAACTGCTCTCAGACTTTCAAGTAAAAATATTTGATGGAGAGTTCTGTAGTGCTGAAAATTAGCAAAGAGGCATGAAGCACTTTGTAATCCAGATAAATATTTCATCCAAACGTCAATTTGTATGAGAGAATCAAACGAAACAACACTGTCCATCGGAAATACGATGGGGAGGGGGGCAACAAAACAATATACGCCGAAATATGTCCAAACAGAAAAAACTGCAACGTAACTTTGTAGCACGAACCTGTCCTTTCAGAATCATGACAACGATTCGCACCAAGCTGCATGTACAAACAGATTAAAACTGCCTAGTTACGTGAACAACAAAAGCTTGTCCACACACGATTACAATCCACACCACAATAACAATGTTTCCTGCCAAAACCTGATCAGAAAGAGCGATTCCCGCCAAAAGTTTTCCACACTACGATATGATTAACGCCAAAATTCTGTCCAAACCGAACTGAGATAACAGCAAAGCCCGCTCATTAAGAACGAACCACGCCAAAACCTGCCCAGTAAAGTTAATCACATCCAACCCAAACGTAAAAATGATTCACAGCAAAACCTGTCCGTTAAGAACGAACCACATCAATATCTGCCCATTAAGAACGAACCACACTAAAATCTGCCCATTAAGAACGAACCACATCAATATCTGTCCATTAAGAACGAACCACGTCAATATCTGCTCATTAAGAACGAACCACACCAAAACCTGTCCGTTAAGAACGAACCACACCAAAATCTGTCCAGTAAGATCGAACCACACCAAAACCTGCCCAGTAAGAACGAAGAACACCAAAACCTCATTAAGAACGAACCACACCAGTATCTGCCCATTAAGAGCGAAGAACACCAAAACCTGCCCATTAAGAACGAACCACACTCAGATCTTCCAACTAAGAACAATGCACGCCTAGACCTGTCCAAACAGAAAGATACACACCATTACCTGCCCAGTAAAACGAGGAGATCTAGAGGCTTTTAAAGGCAGACAGAAAAATCGTGGCGGCACGGCCTTGTGCGGATACCGTCTGACTGGTTTCTACATCCGGATGTAAACGTTAATGAAAATACATACGAAAGGAATACAAAATCTTATAGAATATCTATCTATACCTTATCCGCTGTTTCCTGAAGCGAAGTTCGACAATAATTCATAATTATTCTCCATTCAACATATACACATGGTTGATTCCTGTATCTCGTCAAATTACCTTTCATCGACGTAAGAGTGTATGATGGGAATATCTATAGACCCTGTCTGGAAACATGTAATTCGGTGAATTATACGATTTGCACTGTGATACATGATCAAACTTTGGTAATGAAAACTTACAAAAACGAGTGACACATCACAGTAGAAGGCGTTTTGTACCAATAAGGACTCTAATAAATCTGAAAAAAGCTGTCTCTACAAATAGATTTATCTCACGTGTTAGGCGGTCAGACAGACCTATTTACAATGTCATTTACAAGTGGAAAGTTGTATAGCTATCCTGAAATTGTCAACAATAAATCTACTTTTTCGAAGTTTTGTATCATTGAAGATTATTGTATGGAACGCTATGTACACCGAACGTCCCACAAACGTACTTTCACGCGATGAGTTTATTTTCACGGTTGTGAACTTTCATTTCATTAGTAGCAACATACACTAGGTACTTTCTGAGCTCTATGCAGCCGCATCATTGAACTGCCCTGGTGCTGGACATATCCTTCACTTAACCGGAGTGTTTCAGTGTACGCTTGTTAAGTTACGGCACGACCAGATGACCACACCAAACACGTTGACCTTTAACCCTTCTTCAGATGGATTCAGGAGATTGATAACGACCATAAAGCAATGAGGAGACACAGTACCTGGACTAACACGACGCTCCCAACCCAGGACAAGGTACGTTAATTTTATCAGTACACAAAATGTATTAGAAATAAGTAATTCTGCGTCTTATTAGTAATTCTGCGTTTTTATGGCCATCAACAGCAATGATAAGGAACATTTAGAATGGGAAGTCTCTATCAAATTAGTGCTTATTCATAAAGACATGAAACGTTTACTGTGTTTACTATAAAGTACATGATTTCTTAAACGAATGTTTAAATTCTGATAAGTATTGATCTCCCAATATCTAACGATGGGACCAAGTATGGTATTTATGGTTGTGATAAATGACAGAGATTTACATAAATTGTAAGATAGTTATAAGTGACAGATTTATATTGAATTGTGCACTAGCGCAATAAATCGTTTGCTTTGCAAACTGCCTTAACAACGATGACCGTCTCTATGCCAATAATTATGAAGTGTTAATGGTCACAAGCTATGGCATGTTACCTTAAAAAAACATTTATTTCTTTTTACATTTTAAGGCATTGCCATGTAAATGTAGACACATTCAGCCGAAAGTGACATCGACTTCGATCAATTTAGACATTCTAATGCTTAAAAATACCTTTATATTAGGGGAGAAAGACAGCATGAGACAGACAGACAGAGAGAGAGAGAGAGAGAGAGAGAGAGAGAGAGAGAGAGAGAGAGAGAGAGGTGGGGGGTTGTTAACTGAAAGCAAGAAAATATTCAAGATTGATCAATGAAATCAAGACCAGGTATCCCGGAAACTTAAACGTTTTCTACTTCCATGACGACATCCGACATGTAAATATTGGTCAATTCCAGTAAAAATATCATGTTCTCAAATAAGGACATCCTTTAAAGGAACAATTTGTCATGTGATTCGAAGATACCTACAGACTTACTGATATTTCAGATGACAATCTACCATGGCTGATGTACGCTCACTCAAGGTAAGGACACGGTAACGTTGATAGTGTGTACGCTCACTCAAAGTAAGGACACGGTAACGTTGATAGTGTGTACTCTCACTCAAGGTAAGGACACGGTAACGTTGATAGTGTGTACGCTCAGTCAAGGTAAGGACACGGTAACATTGATAGTGTGTACGCTCACTCAAGGTAAGGACACGGTAACATTGATAGTGTGTACGCTCACTCAAGGTAAGGACACGGTAACATTGATAGTGTGTACGCTCACTCAAGGTAAGGACACGGTAACATTGATAGTGTGTACGCTCACTCAAGGTAAGGACACGGTAACGTCTTTGCAGTTCATTCATTTCATTATATAGTTACCACAACTGTTGTGTAGGGCGCCATTTCATGATTAAATCTCTTACATCACTTACGAGAATGCGCCCGTTCAAAACTTATAACGTACGTTCGCGAAGGTAAATAGGATTCATTCAAATTGGTACTATCAGAAGTTAGAAAAAAAGAACAAAACGATTTATTATACCTTTACTATTCGTTCTTTGTAATTTTCTAAAGTGAATTAAGTCTGCAATTCTAGATGTTCGCCCCTGAACAATGGTTACCGATCAACTGACTGCTTACGTCACAGCTCATTACTGTTCGGTACTTCCCAGTCGTTATTCGACAATTTCCGCCATTAAGCAATTATATACAGTACAAATCCCTGCTGTTGTTAAAATTTATTTCAGAATTAAAACTGTTGAAATGATGTTGATTAATCATTTACATTATCTATAATGATTCGTTTTCTTAGATATCAACGGTAGATGATATAAAATAAAATCATTTGTAGTATGGATTTTCGGTCAACATGACTTCGGCTTTTGGCAACAGTTTAGTCTTATGGTTTAACATATCACATGTTGACCTCAAGCCCAGCCAACAAATATATATTATCAGCAAATAGTATTCAACATTTGAAAGAGCGATATCAGTCGTGTATTTGAGTAGGTGGCATTAATTAATATAATTTGTTATGTGTATGTCATACTGAATAGTAAGAAAACTTATATCATATTTTACGGTCAAGGGGGAAATAACTCCATTCCGCAATTTGGTTGTTTTTTTTATTGGTATGTACTTTAATATGGATAAGTTGACCGGAACATGTTTTAAAATGAGAATTCAAATTTGAGGATTTAGTTTAAAGATTTTATTGTTTTGGAACATCATTTTCATCCCAATATTAATTAACATAAGTAGTACATCAGTATGTAAGTGAGAAATTTCCTATAAATTTGTCAAAATATAAAAATCAGAAACAACACCAAGGCTCTAAACAAACTCGTGTTTTTGTTGAGTAAAAATACCACGGAAAAATCTTCATGACCTGGACAATTTATACTACAGAAACTGGCTAAACACAGCTCAACTGTCAACTGAAAATAGTGTCGGTCTGAAAAAGGGATAACTTTCATCATTTTTCCACGCGCAGGTTTTTACGTATTGATTTAATGTGTACTTAATTGGAGAACAACATCATTATAGAACTGACCTCTTTGTTTAGTTTTCCAGTGTAAACGGCCGGGGGCTTACGTTTTTTATAGATACTACAGGGACGTATAATAATGTACTATACGTCCCTGTATACTAGATCGATAGTGGTAAGTACGGTAAGGCCACATGATATATAGAACAGAGTCGCGTGCAAAATAGAGTTCACGGATGT